CAAACCCTCACAGGTTTCGCCAGCAGAAGGTCTATGAAGAACATTTTCTTTTTATTATTTTTCGATTTGATAGATGCAATGAGTAGACAAATCTTGCCACTATTTCATTTCATTACTTTTAGTGTGAAATTTTGTACTAATTTTTATGAATATTTATAATTAAAGGAGCAAACGTATTAAACATATGAGAAACAATTTCGATTTTTAGTTCAATGTACGCACTCAGCATATTGTTGCGGTCTAGAAATTGTAAATTATTTTTTTCGTATGTTTCGTTGCCGTAATTCTTATTCAGCATATCTTTGCCACGTAAAGACAAGAAAGAAAAAAAAATTGTTTTAAATCATATGCAAACAACAAACTTATGAACAAGTTGTAAAGCGTTATGAAAATGACATAAAAATTGGAAAATTAAAATTCGACATAAAAACAAATAAAAAAAAAAAAGAAAAGGAAAAATTAAATTTGCAACATTTAAGCACATCTGGTGCTGGCAGCAAGTAACAACCAAAAAAAAAAACGAAAACAAATTTTACTAAAAAACAAAAAACGAGACGCGCCAACGCAAGTTGGCAATCAGAAAAACGACACAACCCAAACAAACAGACACAAACGCCAACAAACAAGAGCAAGAGCGATGTACTAAATGTGCAGCAGTATATGATACACACAATCGCATATATACGCGTATGTATACAATTGTGGCTGGTCTGTGTCTGTGTATGAATTAGTGGAAAATGGGGAGAACAGTGTATACACATACACAGTCGCACACATATACACGTGCAATGGAGCACAATTGACATAGTAAAACCGCCAGAAGAAGACGCAGAAGAGTCAGACCAGACCATGATTGTCAGCATGATTTTTGGGTGGCAAATGCGTAAAATATTTAACAAATATGTTAAAATGAATAGCGGTATAAATGAACGAGCGTGTGCCTTACAATAGACATACAAACAGACAAACAGACAACAGTCTGCCAAGCAGCCAGACAGACAAATACGTTACACATTTACATTTGCATGGCAAAGTGATACTTGAATACAAAATATTAACATGATCATTAATATACGCGGTCGACGTCTGCCGCGAACACTCCTTTCCCCCCCCCTGCCCCTTCACGGTTTTGTATGGATTTTATACATTTTTGATGATATATGGCAGACAACAATCTTCTACGCTCTCTGTGTAAGTGCTTTCACAAGATGTAAGTAAAGTATATTTAAGTTGCAGTTAAAATATTTGAAATTTTTCTTAAAACAGATCATAATGTTCGCATGGATCCCTTATTAAAAATTAAAAATCTCATTAATGCTGCTTAAAAAAAAAAAAAAGGATAAAATATTTTTGATAATTGTAATGCACGCTTCCAGCAAAAAGAAATATATTAAGATAATGCGATTTATAAGGCACGCTGGAAGTAGTCAACAACTAACGAAGATATATTTGAAAGGATTTCATTTCATATCGCTCTAGTCATTCATTCCTGTGGCTATTAAAACTGAAATGCATATTACATGCAGGAAGGAATTGTCCAAATTAAGCAACTAACTCTCGATAAAACCTAGCAACCAACTGACTGTAGCAACTTGACCTAGAACGTCCATTGGCAAAGGATGGAGATGGATTAAATTTATAATGCTTGACATCCAAGAAAACTTATGCATTCTTCGTCAGCTGGTGTACTGAATCAAGCAGAGGCCTCGGTGTAGAAATTACGCGATCATATATACACTGATTCCCTTTACAGTACTATTTCCGAGTGCATATTGACATATTTTAATAATGACCAGTTGTGGATAGCCAAGCCTGGCTTGGCTAATCAAGACTTCTCTACCAAACGAGCGTGAGAGATCGCTTTTGTTTGTCCAATATTGGCCGCAAAGCTAGTCAGAGATTAAAAAGATTTCCATATAAATTTTAAGCATAGCATTGTGTTATCTCCACGGAAAGCTTGCCTGCCTTCACCTCCCGCATTCTAAACATATGTCCATCTGCCTACTTATCCCTATCGCTCTTCTAGTCGGTTTTCGCTTTATTCGAGTTACTGAAATAGGCAAAGTTGAAAGTTACTCGATATATTTCTGACCTATGAAAAGAGACGCGTAGTAAGTTTTTTCACAATACTCGCGCGAATAGCTTACGGTCTGCAGTTAACATCGATTTGAGGTTTATTATAAAACTGTATAGCCGTGTAATTTGGTTTAGTGTGATGCAAATTGCCTCGGTAACGGTACAGTTAACAAAAATGCAAGCAACTAACATTCGTCTCAAACCGTAATTATATACAGAATGTCATGTTAATATATGATACATGTTTTCCCCAAGTAAGAGATTAACCAAAATAAATTTTGAATGATGTAATTAATGCGCACATATGTGTAATTTTGATTTGATTTACAACTTTAACTCAGTTCATTGTTTCTAGGGTTCCGTATTGGAACGTGCCAATCTTCTTTTAAATGTAATAAATTCATCGAAACTGTACATGTATACTAAAGGCATGCAGTTAACATCCGATTTCATATTTAAAAGCTGGTGTATTGTCTTCTTTGCGGCAAAGAGAGAATGCTTAAAATGATTGATGATCATTGTCTTCATAAAACAAGCAGCAGCAATAGCAAATACGTTTTAACAGCTTATTGTTATATGCATGCTATTGTAGATTTTGCTAATGCACTGTGTTCATGCTCATGTCACCTGACGTTCAAGGTCTGAAATAGGCTTTGATGTGAATGGAGTCTTTTCAAAAATCTTGCAGCTTTCTGAGAGAATACCTTTGGCTCTTGAATTTCCTTTATTTGTTTTTTTTTACTTATATTCTACGTGTACTACTGCTGTAGCATATATTAAGTTCGCGCGAATATATGCAACATCCAGAAAGACTTAAGATATGCCCACCGTTTTTTGCATTGATCGATTCAGAATTATTTTCTCAATCGATTTAAGCATTTCTGTCCGTCTATCAAACTGACTTCTGTCCATTCATTCGTTTGCTTAACCAACAAGTCACAATACATGAGATATTTGATTTGACAAAATTTGGGGTACTAATGGGTCTGAATCCAGGGGCGAGTGCTATTCCGGACCGGATCGGACTATTTTTACGACAACTCCCCATGTATGTTTTTCAGGAAACCACTATATGTGAAAAAAAACAAGTTTGTTTGCCGAACAAAAATCCTTGAGTAAGAGAATCTCGCCGTAATAAATAGATTTTAAAAATTTGGATCGATGCTTTAAACCCTCTCTTACATTCCTACGAAAACTAAGCCTTTACATGCCAAAACGGTATAATTTCAAAAGTTCTCAAGTTCTCAACTTTTGATAACAAGTAAGTCTTTATACGACGAAAGTAGTAGCAATAGTGGTAGTAGTAGTGGTAGTAGTAGTAGCTTTTCATGTATTGTGACGAAAATTGGTCTATAAAACTAATTTTCAATAAAAATTACAGGCACCTTATTTAGGCTACGCACGCCTATTTTTCAAACGCCAGTCCCTATTAGGGCTATCGTGAAAGGTAAGGGTTTACATAACTTCAAAGGTCAGTTTTTAGTCATTTATGTCGATGATAATAGGTGAAGGAAAACAAGGTCGTTGACATGAAAAGTAATTTTGCTACACTTGGACCACATTAGGTTTGGACACTCTTCCGTTTAAGAGCACCCATGATTTTAGATGGAAGCAAGGTACAACTTTTGGCATTTTATCACGAGAATAAATGAAGCACTTGTTTTAGAACAAGCGGTATACGGTATTCAATCATCGTCATTGCCCGACTTTTTGGGGCATGGTTCAATGTCCGATGTGAGTTGTACTGCGCTATAGCAATGCTCAAACAAGACCTTTGGCATCGATTGGTTTGTACTACAAAAAATTATCGCTAATTTCCAACTTGATCTTGCTAAAAACATATATGTTGATATCAGCTTGCTATCCCTATTTTACGATAAAGCATACAACATACGGGATTTGCAATGCGCTCTTTTAGAGAAGGCAAAAAATCAAAAACGATGTACACCATCTTCATTTCCTTCCTTTTGTATTAACCACGAATAAGGCACGTGGTCTTTCAGGTGTTCGTGTCGAAGACCTTTTTAGATGGATTTTATAAATATTTATATCAGATTTCTCACTCTTATCGCTCTCTAAGAATTATCTCTTCTTCGTCTTCTCGTAGCAATTGTAAGCGTTATCGTTTTAAATTAAATGAAAGTATAGTGAAGTATATGAGCGCAGTGGTAGGTTTGTATTTTTGATTCTCAGCATCAGACGATACAGGTGTAGACAAGTATAGAACGACTTACATAATTTAATAAAATATATGCATTTTATCTGATCCTTATTTCAACGGAAAAATTAGCCTGAAAATATATAATGCCAACCTCGAGGGGCAGTGCAGATCCTGTGGCAAAGCTTCTTTTCTTTTCTAAAGGCCTCTTTTTGATTCAAATACGTGGTGATAAGAGATGAAATGAAATTTCTATAGTTTTATGTTTTCATAATTTCTATTTATTTATATCTTTTTCTTCAATTTTTTATATAATTTTTTATATATGTATACGTTGTTTATTTGCAACTCTACCACAGTTTGCTCTAATGTGCTTACTTTAATATAATTTTTGAAATAATTTGTTTTCTTGCTTTTCTTTTTTTTTAGAAGTTATTTCTTGTATATATATATATGTATATATAATAACTTAAACAATAAAATTATTAATTAAATAATGTTTTGGAATTGGAAACTAAAATATAATGCACTTAAATGCACGATTATGATAAACGTGGGTGTGTTTGTGATTTAATTATAAATAAAATAAATTATTATATATATATATATATTTTATAGTACACATAATACATACATATTTACCTGTGTCTGTCTCTTGGCGTTAAAACTATTGATTATTACATTTTCTTTTCATCTCATATGTATATAGATAGCGTTTTTATTTATTTATTTTTTTTTTTTTTTCTTTTAATTTATTATAATTTCTATTAAGTTTTCCTTTTTAAGATATGTACTCCACAAAAACCATGTTTTTCAAATAATCTATACTACATTTCATATATATTTTTCATTTTCCAAAAATATTTTTATAACTTTCCTACGTCCATCGTCTTCCTTACTCTTGAATATCGTTATTATTATTATTATTATTATTATTTTCAATTTCGTTATTATCTAAATGGGAATTAATATCATTTTGATTGTTTTCGGTTTTAATTTTTAACAACGTCGCTATTGACGATGATGACGATGATGATGATGACGGCCAGACAGCATTGGAAGCGTGTTCTTGCTGCTTAAGATCCCCGCTTCCTGGTGGACTGGAACAAATCTTTGGCTCTTCGTCTTCGCTAGCGTTACGGGGAGGTGTGATTTTATTGTTATAATGATGCGGTTGATGTCGCTCGCTTGTTTGCGAATGCGTCGACAGCATAGGATTGAAGTTATAGGGGCTTTGCAAAAAAGGCGAAAATGGTAGGGGTAAGCTGGTAGGATATTTTGGAGGTCCATTAGCACCATTTGCCAAATGTTGGGAAGGTAATTGTGTGGGAAATGCATTCGTGTTCAAATCAGTGCCGCCAGGCTACCATGAAAAGAGTTATGATAAAAGAAAGATACCAAGGTTACGTATAAATTTGAAACTTTTGTTCATATTGTGCTGATCGGGTAGGTCAACAAAAGTGGTGTGGCCTCAAGATTCAGACGAAATTCTAGATTGAAGTCGATAAAAGATAGTACTTTGCTCACGACTTTAAACTGCGGTATGTCAAAGTCCGGCTAAAGATTATTTACATCTTTTTCTTGCTTTGCTTTTAAGAGAGTATTAATCAGTAATCAAGATTTATTTCGAAAGAATTTTGCTTGCTATTAACGGAAGTACATTTATATTTATAGATTTTAGTTGTCATTATTAATTACTTCAATGCTCTTACCGATGCGAGATTTGGATCATCTTGCAATTTTCGTATTTCGTATTTCTCATAATCCTAAGACACCACTAAATAGTAAGATGACATCCTACATTTGCATGCCATCCTAGGAACACGTGCTGACGCACTAAATAACTTCCTAGGAAGCCATACGGATGTGTGATGGCTATTAACGAATTCACAGGGTTTTTAGATAGAACGCACCGTACGAACTAATGGCCGAACCTAATGAATTTCGGCACAATTCATTTCAAGGTCAGTACTGAGATTATAGCGGACGGACAATGGCATCACAAACCTGCTACGCAATCCCCGTAATTAATAATAATAACACAATAATAATATCACATAAATAAAATTTGAAAGAATCTCTTAAGAATTCATTGGTTTGTTGTTTATGAATCGTTTATGAATTTTATCCTGATTTTCGTAGCCGTCTTGGTTTAACAATTGCACTTACGCTCCTGAACGGGTGGAGTGTAAACCTTAACTTTATAAAATATGAAATAAAGTTTTGGTTGATTTCGCAAATTTGCTCGCAAAATGGACCTGAATTGCCAATAAACCAAAAGAGGAAGAAACATCAAAGAGACAAAAATTTCGAAATTTTACCTCTGTCACTCACAACTGTTTCAATTTATCGACATGAAATTTGAATCTAATTTAAAAATAATCGACATAGAATAGCGACCCGATCATAATCCATAAATTTTAAAACTTTTTTTTATAAGTTAAAAAAATTCCATTACAAGATCGAATATAGGATGTCCATAAGCGCTATTTTTACAATATCTATCCTTTTGCTTTTAACTACTGAGAATGTGAAAATTTACTTAAAACTTACCTTGTGCGGCAAACCATTGAAAAAGGGCGGAAGGTATGGAAAGAATATATCAGGTCTGCGGGGTATAAATTCATTATCCGATGCCAATGAACCACCTGGCCGATGCATAGGTAACTCCAAAGACATACGTCTGCCTCTACGGGATGTGGGATTAGACCACATATGCGTGCCCATGTGAACCTAAATGAAATTAAAAAGCCCAATAAGAGCGTTTTTGAGAATAGAACAAAAAAATAAATCAAACTTGTAGAAATTTGGAGAACAATAACTGTAAGAAGAGCTGCCTAACATTTATTTTAATTTCTAGGTTAGAGTTGCGATTGTTACTAAGCAAAGTTTTGAATTATTATGGTTTATGCTTCTTTTTTTCTACTCACCTTTAAATTACCTTTAGTAGTAAAGGCTTTTTGGCATACATTGCACTGAAATGGTTTATCACCGGTATGCGTACGCATATGTATCTGTAACGCGGAACTTGAACTGAAATTGCGTCGGCAAATGTGACAGAAATGTTTATTATTAACCGGGGGATCTAGACTGGATGTCGGAGGACCCACAGACATTAAAGCTTGTTGAAAATCCAACGGCGTAGCGGGGAAACGATGTGTCTCTGTATGCAGCAAAGAATTTGGCAATTGATGGGGAATTGTAGATACTATAAGTTCACGTTCAAGAAATTCTACGTATATACAAATCAAAAATTTCGACCCGTCAAGATACTTACGCATCTGCATTTTCATCAAAGAATGTTCGGCAGCATCAGTCGGATGATGATGATGATGGTGGTGGTGGTGGTGGTGCTGCTGAGGATGGTGATGCGAGTGGTGGTGACTATGGTCGGACAATAAAGTGGGAGATTTTTGATGGCTCGTCGCCGCGCTAGTATTAGTAATAGATTGTGATGTTGGGGTCGGTGCATTAGAACTGTGATATATTTCATCTTCTTCGTCCTCGTATGGCTTAGGCGATTTGGGATTATCTTCTAATTCCGTTATGGGCTCTTCTTTAATATTTGCAGCTAACTCATTATATGAAGGGTCTGGTAAAGATTGTTGTTGTTGTTGTTGTTTGTTTTGATTGACTGAAGTTTTATTAAAATTTTGATCTTGCTCTAGTTGTTGGTGTTCTTCTTCCTCAGTTTGAGGAGATTTATTATCGAATATACGCGAACCCAAAGCGAGCTAATTAGAAATGAAAAGCAAATACACAAATATTTTGTAAAAAACATTTCCTCATCATTATTATTAAATGTCTGATCATAATGATCCCGTTGTAGATCATATCATATCTTATGAAGTGTTCGCTGTAACAACATCTCTAACAATTTTTCTATGTCTACGTTTAACATATGATCATTCTTTATGTTCGGTGTCTTAGTTTTTAAATTGTTTGCTACGCAGACACAATGGGCTGAGTGTTAATTTTTGCGTACATTTCCAATTAAATGTGGCGTTAATATTAGACGCGCTAGACAAACTTTTAATAATTTCCATTATTTTCTATTTTTTGTTTTTTTTATTTGGATGCTCTATCACTTGGTTGCAAAATTGAATGCGTAATAAAAGAGAAATAAAAACACACATAATTTAATCTTTGTGTCAGTGGAATTTTTAATAGATTCATACTAAAATGATGTACGAGCTCTCCTGCTGTTATTTGGTTGTTTCATGTTTTTGTCGTAACTGTCTGGCATAGTGTGTATGCATGTATCATTTTGCTTTCTGGTGTGCTTACGTGCTTCTCATGAGTTTATGATAACCTGGTGCTCGCTAGTGTTGTCTGCACTAGACACTGTAAGGATTCGTTAGTGTGACAAATATTTGCATTTCTAGCGTCATCACAATACACATATCTCGAGTTGTCAACTTTTCTTCTTTTGTTTATGTTATTAATACATTTTTTCAATTCTTTTAGTTCTCATATTAATATTTAATGTCTTGTCATTTGTTTTTAAGCGAAAAATTTAGCATAACTATAAACATTATTCGGCTGTTGAAATTATAAAATCGCCGCTAACATGCAAAAAAAGAAGATACATTCGTTTTAGACGTTGCTGACAGATAGCTGAAAGATTTCGGTAGAAAACCTACACTTGTGTCACTAATTATTAATTGTGAAGCAAAACGTGCACAGATATCCAATCCATTACAATTTGATATTACTGCGTTTCTTAATTAACTAACTGTATGGGAAACACACTCATATTTGTACTTGACCTGTACGGATCTAATCTCGTATCGCATTGCAACATTTCACCTTGATTTTCGCAATTGGCAAAAGCAAAGTCTGGGTGGTAATCATGCGCACTAATAACTTTGCGCTCTACCTGGCGGTGCAGATAAGTGGAACGTTTTTGGGATTATGGCGATCTTTGTGAATAAGCCTTACCGCCCTTCCAAGTAATGTGGAATTCTTAATATCATCCAAATGGGGGCTTGTTTGAAGCTGTTGATGACCAGTAAGCGGCCGCGTAATTTGGCGAACCTACTCAACAGCAATTTTGCAGTCGAAAGATTAGCTTAACAATTGCAAATGATTTAGGGCAAATTCCTTCGGAAGAACCCGTGCACGGCCAAGTCCCGATTCGTTAAGAAATCTGTGATTATTTTTAAGAAGAGAAGACTTTTTAAACTGTCTACGCCATTTCGCGGTTTTTCTTCTTTTTTTTTTAAGCGACAACTCGGCCATTGCCAGAAATAAACGGCGAAAGACAATTAAAATGCGCGCCCGATTCGCTCAGGGTTACGACTTTACCGACTGAACATTCAGTAGAGCTACGATCAAGTATGCCCTACAGCGCTGGAATTTAAACCCGCGAACACTGACTTGGTAGTCGCGGATCTTACCCACCTGGCTACTCATACGGCATTTTGCCTTTAGTAAGAAAGATAAGCAGAATGGCGTTTAGGTAACCATATCAGTTACTAGGGATCTCTATGCTTTAAAAGGGGCCGACGTAGATATATTTCTTATATATGTATACCGTAACTCGATTGAAATTTGAAACCTAGTTAACCTAAATAACAAATTACAAAATTAAATATAATACACTAACTATACGCGGAGGAAAGGCGAACAATTTGACTTTAATGAAGTGTGGAGGACTTAAAGCGAACCTTACTTAAATTTGAAGTTTTCTATTCTCATAAAATTAAGCACAAATTAACAAATAACTGGAAAGCCTCCACCTACAGTAAAGTTTTATGAATAATAACTAACTTCAATAACGAAACTTAAGCAAGCCCTATTAACTAACCGCAAACATACATACAACAGCCCGTAATAGCTCGTAAAGATTGAAAGGGGAAGAAAAAGAGAGTAGAGGAGTTCAGCTTTACTGCTAAAAGACCGCTTTATTAAATACAAAACAATGAAGTAAATGACAGACATTAATTAAAATGTTACTACTTTTTTCTGCCTACTCTTCTCTTCACTATCTCTCTTCGGCAGCAATAAAACCAAAGAAATTAAAGTATGTAAGAAGAAGTGCGTAATATACAGAAAGCTCAACGCAACGCAACGCAATACACACATTACGTTAAAAGATGAACACTTTGAATGGCACGATAGCCTTAAAAGGATTTTGAGCACATACGCGCGCATACACACATACATACTGATGTAGAAATAAAACGAGATATATGAAATTCATGGAATAAGAAAAACTTACGCAAGTTAACGATTTTATGGTGCGGTTATATGTATAAGTTACTTACGTATATTCGCATATTTTCATATATGGTTGACATAATACAAATTATGATGAGATTATTAATTGCGTTTAGCAATAACTGATGTATTGCGTAGATTTAAACGAGGAGAAAACATTCCTTTGGCTAATGAAACACTTTAGCCCAAGCTACAAACATGAAAAGTATATTTAGGCAGATGTTCATTTGTACATAGTTAAGGTAATTAACGTTTGGTACATTCATAGTGTTGTGTGTAAAATTCTTAAGAAAATTGCGTTCGAAATTATTTTTCATAAAATATCTACGATTAGGGAAAGCATTCTGATTATAAAATCTGCTTTGTTCTTGCACTTTTAAAAAAAACTCGAGATATTTTGCAAAAAATTGCTTTACATATTGATGGTTCCCAGCTAAAGCTATTGACACTTGGCGGGAGCAAAAATGTATAACAAAAAGGTTTTGCTGCGTTAGAAAGATTGAGCTAAGGAGTTTGGTCTTACAAGTTAAAAAAACTGCTCATGTTTTTTTTTTTTAGGAAATCGTCATATATTCTTAATTAACTTGGGACAGTGAACTGCATTTTAAAGCAGCGTTTTCCATGCGTCGAGAATTATTGCCAATGTTAGTGTTTTCTATAAGCAGAAATGGGGCAATAGTTGCCGCACAATATATAGAATTCGCAGGACAATGGCAATTGCTTTAGTTTTGTATAGCCGCGTAAGTGATGCCAAGGTGCGGCTTTATGGAGAAAAGGAATTACGGCAATCGTAAGCAAGAAACATGACTTTCTTTCTTTCTTAAATGGTTTACGAGAGTGAAGCCAAATGAAAAAGGCCAACTTTACACGACATCTACATCGTTTTTGTCGAGTGCGACACTAAACTTCAAACAAGGAAATCTGCAAAAACACTAAGCATATACCTAGCATTTCTAACTTGGTTTCATTACATTGACTTTTTATTTTGAAGAAAGTCTTTTCGTGTTTAGTTAAAAAAGGACATCAAATTCCCTCTAATGAATTACTAACATAAATGTTTGTTGTTTCCTTTTCAATCTAAATATTTTTTTAATAAGGCAAATTGTTCTCTTTATTGCTAGACTACACTATTAATAGCCTACTCTACACTACACTCGTGGTACAGGGTATATTAAGTTAGTGCGGACACACGTTAGTGTAACACGCAGAAGGGCTTAAGATAGACCCATACATTATTACTTCGATCGATTCAGAGTCATTTTCTATATCGATCTCGCCTGCCTGTCCGTCTGTCTGCTCGTTTGAGGTCTGTGCATGTAAAGGAGTGTTTAAGCTACGAGTCGCAATTTTTGAGATATTTTGATAGAATTTGGTACACTGACGTGCTTTCACCACGGCGGCCAACGCTAAATCAAAACAGTTTGGATCGATTCACTTTTTCGCAGAGCGCCCTTTTCCAAAAAGAGAATATTGTGAAGTCGTAAGTTCAAAATTTCTCGACAAAAGTCGCTCTGTACGTAAGATCGTTGGGCAGCGTCGGCCATCATAGACCTTACACCACTTCGCCTAGTGTAGTTATTTACTCGTTTTGGTAATAATACACCAAAAAATACACATTATTTTTATGCAAAGCCATAACTTTCATGAAAGCCCGCATATTGGAAGGTTAGACTTGCTCTCCATATAAGAGTTTGAGTTCCGTGATAGCGCCTAAATATTTTAGAACAAAACTTATTTCATGCTCATGTGGGTGGCCGCGGTATAGACAAATGTGCAACTAATTTTCCCATTTGTTCGGTACGAGAAATATTCGATGCATTGAACTTTTTCTAAAAAGTCCAAGCTGCTGTTTAACCCGTCGTTATTAAAAATATGAAATTGTTTTGCGTTTATCTATTTGCAGCCACACGCTTACCTTAGCATTAAATAGTGAATTTTCTCTTCTATCACAGTTGGAGTTGTTGGCAATAGTTGAAATATTGCTGGTATTATCTGTGGCGGTAACAGATGTTGATATTGTGGCAGATAATAGAGTTGCATCGTCTTTGGTGTGCTCGGTGTGTATGTGAGATTCCAAAGCTGCTGTGGTCGGGAATAGTTTAAAACAGAATTGGCAGATATGAGCTGGAGGCTGTAAACCTGTGTGAATATAAAAACGGAATACAACGTATAGAGCGCCTTGCGTTAACGGAAAAAGAGATATAAATTTAATTACACTTTAATATTGTTTAGCAGTGTTGTAGTTTCAGTTTTATTTATTTTGTTTTAATTAATGCAATGCGAACATAATGAACATAAATTTTGTTTTGTAGTAAAATGTTGTGACATAATGACGCCGCAGAATACGAAATCGCACGAGTCATGGAACATATAGAATACAAACGCATACAGAAAACTTTTAAACAGTATATTAAATGTGCGTGCGTTATAAGATGAATTCGGAAAGTGTTTATAAAAATAAATCTCGAAATGTGTGAAAATTCTTTGTTTCGCTTCAATTGAATTATGTCGTGTTTTTTGCTTCGAAAATCGGGAAACACTTTTGGTGCCTGCTTTGCAAAATAACTGCTTGGGGTCAAAGGTATCAGACAAAATGTTTTTATCATTTTCTTTAAAGCAAATATTACGTTACGTACATTAAAGCACTCAGACAAGACGAAAATTACGACTTGAATCTCTTCCTGTGACAGAAAGTTTTTGAAATTATTTTATTAGTGCAACCAACCAGTAGGCAAAGAGAAGAAATTTATTTAATCTTTTTCGATTGGTATAGGTTAGTAATTTTCGTTACTTACTCATGAATCCCAGCGGCCCGAAGGGTAATAGGGGAAATTTGCCTTGAGCACCTAATGTTTGCATTTCTTCTCGGGCGGCAGCCATTAGCCAAAAATTAGGCGGCATACCCAAAACGGACGGCAGATTATCTAAATGTTTCGTCGCCGCTCCGCTACGTGAAGATAAGTCAATTGCTCCAGCCATGTCAGTGTAATCCATATGCTCCGATTCTGCTTTGTCGTCAACTTCTTCAGGGCTTCGTTTATCTAAAGGCGTAACAGAGGAAGAGTTCTCCCGCGAATCGTCCGTACTTTCCATAGTCATATACTCATCGAAATCTCCTTGCGATGATTCTGACCTTTGACCCGAATATTCAGAAGTTGTAGAGAAATCGAAGTTATCTGAAGCTCCCATCGATTTATTAGAATTCTGATCTTCCAAAGCCATCGATTCCATATGCGCCCTTAATCTGTTATTGTGTTCAGCTATTGCAGCAGCCATATCTGCAGTTGTGCCCATCATGCCTGGTCCTCCTATCGATCCCTCGTCAATGGTATGTATTCTGATGTGTTGTTGTAAAATTATGCCATTGGAAAATTTCTGATGACACACCGGGCATTTAAATTGACTACGCATGGGTGGTTTGATTTTATGTATACTCATATGTGCTTTCAAATTACCCTTAGTAGCGAACGCTCGTCCACATATTTTACATCGAAAGGGACGTTCGCCTGTATGGGTACGGATATGCATTTGCAAAGAGCTACGGCATGACATAACTTTCTGGCAAAATATGCATTGATTTGGATCTGTAAGTTTATTTTCGATATTATCCACTAATTGCTGCAATTTTGATGTTTCCGATGTCGTATCTATTTCTATGAGATCTTCCCATGACTTATCTAAATAACTGTCCATCTGAGTATAATCACTTGACAAGTGCTCTAAGCTGCTATTGCGCGACAGCGACGAACGTCGGAAAATTTTTGACAAGTGATGTTCGGGTATCTCATTTTCCAAATTGGAGGCATGGGCTTTGCGCAATTCTTGTGGGGGAGTGGCGTTGCTAGATCCACGCTTCCTCTGATTGTGATTTCGCTTCGGTGTCAGAGAAGGCATTGGTCTTTCAGCTTTTTCTATTGAGTTTTCAAGACTTGGATCCATTAAAGCTTGTGGAGTTTTTACCCTCACCAAAGGTTTCGGTTTTAGTTCGGTCTCGTTAATTGGTTTGCTTAGATCTTCAGGTCGTTCTTCTTGCTGCTGTGGCTGGGAAATTTCTACTCTAGACAGTTCCGGCTGCTGAGACTCTATTACCGTAATTTCATCTTTGGAATTCCGAGAACTTTCATTAATTTCAGCTGGCTCTTTCAGAGCTGACTTTTCAACGAATGTCATTCTCAGAGACAAAGGCACCAAAGGTCCCATTGCTCCCATAATAGGTGATGAGAGTTCCGTTGGTGGCGGTGGCGGAGGTGGTGGCGGAGGCCCTACACCCGGTGGCAGCAGAATGGGCGGGTATATTTGTGTATGTCTTTGGTAGTGGACTTTCAAATTTCCTTTTGTTGTAAATTTACTGCCACAAACATTGCACTGAAAGGGCCGTTCGCCTGTATGAGACCGTAAATGTATTTGTAGGGCCGAAAATGAGCCGAATATTTTTCCACAGTATTTACATCGGTGCTTAAAAATTTCACCTCTTCCCTGGCCATCTTTTTGCCCGTACTCGTACTCGTCTTGCATTTGAGAGGCGTGTAAACTTTGTGATGCCGAGTCCAAGACTTCTTCGGTACGCCTTTGCAATACTTCCAGACAGTTTGGTTCATCGGGGGCGGGTGGAGGATCATGATTGGTTATAATACTAGATGCCAATGATGAGCTAATGCTACACATTAATGGTTGAAAACTATTGCCGTCTGCTCCCACTGAGGGCTTATCACCTGAACTATCACCCACAATTGCACTTGATTCTTCAGTCTTGGTATTCTCTATGTCTAGATAATTTTTGACTTGCACAATATCTTTGGATTTATTAATGCATTCATTAGTTTCCTTAGCACAGTGTTCTGATGACCTTTTCTGACTTAAATCTAATTCTTCTACATTTGCCGTATCCTTAGCTTCAGATGATTCTGAAAGCTCTTCTATATCGCGGTCATCATCATCTTCCTCGTCTTGGGAAATATGTGTCCGATGATCTCTTTTCTTCAGCTGACTTTGCAGATGCTGTATAAATTGCAATTGTATTAGATGTTGACGCTGCGCATTGAAAATGGCTGTCAAATCTGGTCTTGCTTCACTTAGACATTGTGATGTCGCCAAGGCCGTTGCTGCAAATTGAGCTACCGCTACTTTTGTGTGCTGTAAACTTTCTAAAGCTACGTGACTTCGGCTCGTGGATAAACCATTCGGAAGTACAGATAGATCCAACGCTTGATCTCTATCGCAATTGATCGCTTCATCTTGCTCATCTTCAGCGCCCTCTTCTGCGATACCCGCCTGATCAATTTGACTTTCAACATTATTCTCAAGATTTTTTCTATTGTCCTTGGCATGATCGGGACTCTCGGTTTTCACAGACATTATTGCGGTATCGTTATCATTATTGTTACGATCAGCTTCTATATCTTTGGTCAATGACGAAGAACTTCCCGATGAATTGCTAGCACTGGTGGTATCGCGATAATTAATGCGGTTATGAAAAATCGAACACATCTTTTTTCAAATGCTAACTGAAACGAAAAAGAATATATTTGCTACTAAGCTTAAAATTCTTGGATTATTTATCCATATATGTGCAACTGAGAAGACAAATCATCACATTACAAAGATTTCTTGCGCAATAAACAGAAATGCAAACAAATCTTTGAACTCATTAATGGCTCTATTTATTCACGCATATGTTTCTTATATTGTGGACAATTCTAGCACAATACAAATTCATGATAAATTTATAAAATGAATATATGAATATCCTAGTGCCGGCTTATGAACGTATTTTTATTTATTTATTTATTTTCTTTTTATTTTGCATATGATTAGACCACTTTTTGGCGGAATTGATGTGAAATTGTCTGTTATTGAACTCACTGGGATTTCTACATTTCTGACCACATTGTTGGTTTGTAGCTGTGTCGTTATTCTTATGCGCTCGGAAAATAATTTATTGATTTATTTTTTAGAATAATTTGTGAGCAATTGCTAATTCGTATATGTACAGTTGTTGGTCGAGAGTTGATAATGAAATTGTTTCCGACACAGATAAGTTCTAAAAACCAAAACAATCAAGAATATTTTATAGAACCCATTCAAACTAGCATCGTCAGCGCAAATCACCGCAAAATCAATATTCTGGGACATCATATTGCATATCTATACGTGTTCTGTATGAGAGCACATGGTATCGAGGTGTTAAATCCTTCACGTGTCTATCATTTTATAACTCATTCATAGACGTATGCTGTACATTTACTTATGTAAGGACATTGATTTCCCTCAATTTTCTCGATAGTAAGGCTCAACAGAAGTTTATATCATACAGTTGAATCCGTTCGCTGTCTGGGTCTCTTGGTGAGAACTTTCATCACTACCCCATATTTTTTTCATGACTGTATCCAATAAATTAGAGTAGATTTTACGTATGTGCATTTATGGCATTCAAAAAAGTAAAATAAACCTTATTTTAAATTGACACAACCCCTGCTTCCCTTGAATATTGTCAACGATGTAGTAAAGTCAAAACTAGTTATGTTTGCTCGAATATCTTCATCTTCTTCTTCTAAAACTGAACTAATCAGCAATGGGGTGTGCTGTGCTAAGTGGAAAAAGTTCATTGGAAACACGAACTTCTTTGCCTGATGTGTAATGAAGTTACTGAGCGGAGTTTTCATTCCACGTGCATGAGAAGTTCTTTATTATTAGTTTGGGGAAAAAGAAGTCCATTATTTTTATATGAACTTCAGGACTTTATGTAACATGCTTCGGATTGTCCGATTTGGGTCAAATATGCACCGTTTTGTTGTATGATTTGCTGCCATTTTAAACTTCAAAATGCCTCTCTCATAGAAGTCCTGGTCTCTATTTGCAAAAAACTCTAGTAGTCGATTTTCACAATCCTCCCTAGATTCCAATTTTTTATCATTAAAGAAATTTTGCAATGCAAGAAAAAGATGATAATCGCTTGGTGCCAAGTCCGGACTGTATGGCGGATGCATTAAAACTTCCCAACCAAGCTCCCGAAGTTTCTGGCGAGTCACTGTAGATGTTTGTGGCCTAGCGTTGTCCTGGTGGAACACGACATCTCTCTTGTTGGCCAATTCTGGCCGTTTCTGGTCAATCGCTATCTTCAAACGGTCCAGTTGTCGACAGTAGAGATCCGAATTTAGCGTGTGGCCATATGGAAGCAACTCATAATAAATAATCCCCTTCCAGTCCCACCAAATGCATAGCAAAACCTTCCTGGCCGTTAGTCCTGGTTTGACCACCGCTTGAGGTGCTTCACCGCTCTTTGACTACGATCGTTTTCGCACAGGGTTATCGTATGTGATCCATTTCTCATCTCCAGCCACCATCCGTTTAAGAAATGGGTCTATCTCATTCCGTTTGGCCAAGGCTTCGCAGATGGAAATTCGATCCATCATGTTTTTTTCTGTTAATTGGTGTGGCACCCAAACATCGAGCTTCTTTTTGAATCCAGCTTTGTGTAAATGGTTTAAAACTGTTTTATGCTCGATTTTTAGTTCCTGGGCGATGTTACGACTGCTAACATGCCGGTCAATTTCGATCATTTCTCCGATTTTATCGACATTTTCGACGACCGGCCTACCTGCGGCCTAACATCAAAAATTCCTGAACGGAATCTACGAAACCAAAATTGCGCATAATTGGTTGTTACAGTATCGGAACCATAAACACCATTCACAATTTTAGCCGCCTGGCTTGCATTTTCGCCTTTGTCAAAGAAAAACTGTAAAATGTACCGAATTTTCTCTTTGTTCACTTCCATTTTTAACACGCTGTAACTCACAACTGAATGCACCAAACAAAAAACAGCAAAAGAATTTTTTTTACTGCGAAATGTCACCTTTCCAACGAGCATAAATATGAAATTGTTTGATCGATACTTTACGAGAAATCTATCTGTGCAGCCATCTACCGAAAAAATAATGGATTTCTTTTTCCCCAAACTAATATATTTACTTTATACACATGATCTTTGTATCTGGTGTGACTGAATATTAGCCCCTCAATAAGGCCGTCTTAGGCTCTTTATTATGTTGATTGTATACCGGCGATCGTTGCATCTGATGTGGTTAAATATTAGCCTCCCAATAAGGCCGTCTAGGCCTGCAATTTATTTTTTCTTTTTTTGTTTTAAATATGATTAACCGCTCGGGCACATTGCCCTGTTTGGTCGGAAACAAGTGAGGAAAGAGATAAAGAGTTGGGCTTGTAAATGGACCTGTGTTTTCAATTTGTAATGGCTTTACCGACTAAACCCTCACTACCACTACGATAAAAATAAACTCTACTACGCGAGATTTGAACCCACGAAACTTCGACTTGGTAGTCGCGGTTGCTATTTACTCGGATACTCAAGTGGACAACAGGTTGATCATCGTCACACCGCTTATCTATGGAGCTTAAATATATAATGAATTGAGTTATTCAGTGTTGTTGTCAATATAAAACTGAATGTTGCGTGTGAATCGTGAATGCGGGATCAGAGCTCGATTTTTGATAAGTAGCAGACTGAAAGAAGCGGGTATCCATGTGACTGGGCATCCAAAGCAAAAAAAAAAAAATTAATTGAATTAGGTTTGAAATTTATTTACTGAAACTAAATTTGATCTCTAACATATATGGCTGAGTTTTAATGGCAAGAACCGATTGTCGGGCAGATTTACTGCCTGAAACTATATGAATTTTTTTCTTATACCACGTAGTACATTCATATAATTACAGAAGTTTTGTTTAAGTTTAGTATATTTTTCAGATTTGCTAACATAAATCTCAATCTGGCAACAGTGGAAAGCAATTCGCATCGTAATTTCTTGTAACTTCAATAACTTTACACAAATCTATTTTCTTACTTTGCTGCAATTGCATTTTAAGTACCTCGTACCTTAAAATACCGACCCTATGCATTAAAGCAAATTTTGAATTTTACACTTCAAAAGAACCCAAGTTTAATGTCAGTAAGTTATTCTTGATAACCTTATGACAAGACGTCTTGATATTTCTTTTGATTGCAAGCAAAATGACAAAAGGAAACGAGGTACTCTTGTCAAGATCGTCATATACATCGCAGGAGAGCAAAGGAGATGTGAACCAATAGCAGACAATATGAATTTGAATTAAAGGCTATATAGTAGAAGTTTTCCGTTCACTTTTTTTTGTGATTATTTCTCTCATTTACTTGCAACATAAAATTTAAAATGCAAGTTATGCTTGCTGTATAACGAATATTGCACGTATACGCAAAAGTTCATTAAAGTTCAACTAGAATCTTTGAATTGAGCAGTAGCTCTGATAAGGCTAACAAAACTAAAATGTAATATTAAGAAAAAGGCAAAAAAAAAAGAAAAAAAAAAAACCAATAAAATAACAGGTTAAGAAGAATCGGCCGCAACACCACCAAAAAAAAAGAAAAACAAAAGAAAAGAAAAAGGAAGAGAGGCCATAACCGAGCATTGCACACAAATTGTATGCATTTAAGTGCATTTAATCTCAGTAACATTAATTAATACGGGCATTTTTCAACTTCTGCTTTGTCTCCCGTTTCAAAGCTCAAGTTAAGATCAGGCCACAAATTTTTATGTAATATAGACTAAATGCCAAAATACTCTTTCTCTCTTACGTACTCACACATGCACGCATACATCGAAGCATGCATCGAAGCAATAATTTTGCATAGTCCAGGATAAAGTCAGCAATATAAACAAAAACATATAAAATTATGGCCTGTATTTGCGTGAATTATTTTTAGCATTAATTATGCTTAGTCGCGCTTACCTCACACAACAACTTGCTCTTCACAATGAAGATAACACGGCTCCATAAGCATAAACACAAATATACGCACGCATACACACATACACACATAGATGTATATGTAGTCTTTAAGACTTTAAGACATCACCACTAATATATCAAGGTCCATGCATTGATATAAATGCAGCATCTTTTGCTGCTATGCCATAACTTTAAAGGCTCTTACGAGCAAGTGGTTTAAATCAACTTGTTGAAATTATAAATAAAATTCAACGACAATAACAACAACAATAACAATAACAACAATAATAACAACAAGCGGGCTGGCTATTCTAAAAGTTGGTTTATCCATTCATACACCAACACATTTTCTCACTCGAAACAATTCATACCTATGGATGAATTTACCGGTTTACCGGGGCCTGATATGTTGAAATTAACCTCCATGCATGCACAAACTACTATACTAAGCCATACTACTATCACATCGCAAATATAAACTTGCTTTCAATATAACTGACATGCCTTCTTTTTTCCTTTATTTTTTTATTATTATTTTTTTTATTTTTTTTTGCTTCTTTGTCCTTTTTGTCTTAGTTCGTTTTCGACTTTTATAAAAGTTTTGCATAAAAAAGTCATCGTTGGCGATAATTTTGTGTCAGTAATAGATGCCGCTTTATATATTTTTGCGGTTGTTGTTGTTATTATTATAATGCTTGTCGTTCATGTGCATGGGTCT